CGAGCTGTAGTCTGTGCACACGCCGAATGAACGGACAACTTCAATAGATAAAGTATAGCTCTATACTGTTGCGTGCTATATCAGAGAACAAACCTTGGATAGGGTCGTCCTGGCCATTGTATCGGCATGATGTGGTGATTGACACTTGCACAACGACACAAGGCGCAACTAGCTAACAGTGAAGTATTGTTTTTCTACCCCGACCTGACTTGCAAGTTGTACTGCACTTATGTGACTTAACGATACAATTGTCTGCCGAGAAGTTTGAAGAGATAAGGGTGACATGTGTCGTTCGAATGGTGACGACGACTTTGACGATATCTAGATTTAGGCCAACGGTAAATAAGGGGTGGTAGCATTACGTTCCGAGTCTCGACGGACTGGGTTTAGGGGGCTTGGGCTTCGCCAGCTATCGATCGCTAGGGTGAGCCCAAAGCACTTGCCATGTACAGCATGGCGACAAGGATGGTCTGGATGGCGTCGGTGGCGGCGCGGGCGGCGTGGCTCGTCGCGGCGAGGGAAGACCAGGCAGACGGATGTGTTTCCAGTGAATGGGCTAGCCATTCCCACTGGATTGTGGGGTGAGTCGTCGTCACTATTTTGCAAGGCGACGACTGCGTGGAAGGTGCTACAAGACGCAGCGGGGGCCTGCCAGAGCCATCGGGGAGGATGCTACTGGCGAAGCTTTTGGGGGAGGCGGGGATGGTGCATTGTGAAGTGGCTGGGTGGTGCATGTAACTGGTTTGCATATGGTCCAATGCTGCGGTCAGGCCGACAAGACCGGTCAACTGCAATGTGGACGCTGGAAACGCAACAGAAATCGTCCGAGTCTCGGGGAGCAGTACCGAGGCGAACGATTTCGAGGTCTACACGTGGCGTCACCAGAGGTCGATCGACGAGCCACCGCGGGAAGGCGGTGGGGCTGCACTTGCAATTTGGAAATGCTGCCATCGTACCATCATCCAACCAAGGTCCGACACACGACGTCATAAAGACATGTTGAGGTGCAAAGATGGTGGTGTACGTGCGTTTCTTTTCAGGTAGCGCTGAATGTACTGCACAATTGAGTCGGACCGGGTTGGTTGTATTTGGGTGACCTCATGTTGGCTACACCAGTTAATTTCAGTGCCTAGAGAGTGTTGGTTATGATGCACCACTCGAGTAGGCACATTCACAGTGGAGAGCTGTGTTAACGTGACCACGTACACCGTCGCGTGCTTGAAAGCTAGCCGCCGCGGCCGCAGACAAGGGTTCAGCCTTGGACTCGGGCGGGTAAGTCGGGTTGACCATGGGTGCAAAATTCACACAAATGGATTTGATTGGCCAAGGGTGCACCAATCATCGTTGTTGCAAAATTGGAAATGTGCGATCTTTGATAGAAACGCAATATGCGGTCATAGCGTAGTGGCAGTGACGTTGGAGTCTGAATTGAAATTGCATCAAGAATGGCGTAATGCTAACTAACTCACGTGTACGTAGTGTTGACGAGGGGGGCACTTTCTGATTACACAATCTATGCTGTAAACAACACATTAACTTCAATGACGTTCTTTGGAGTGTTCTAACAAATACTGAGCGAGGGCAATAATGGGGCTCTCACGATTTTCGGTGCAACACCGCAATTCAGACTCCATCACAACCATTGACGGTGTGAAACGTATACTGTTACACAAAACGCTCTAGATTGTTTGAAAGTTGCAAGCAAAGTTGACCCCCAATTGATTTGATAGCCTCTCCCAGATTTGGAACATGAAGGTTCTAGAGCAAGTCATTTAGGGGGCGTGAAATGCAAAGTATGAACCCTGTCCAAATACTCGATATAATCGCCAAACAGCAGATTGCAGTCGAGCGGATGGATGGAGATACTTGTTGACGATCTGTACGTGTACACAAAACCTGAGATGGTCGATGGTCAACGTAGGTCTTTTCATATACAGTAACGTTATTGTGAAATGTATCCAACTCGGTGGTCGATTGCGTTGGAAAAGATAACAAAAATCAAAACCGACGTGGAGGTGCAAGGAAAGCAATACTAACGTCAAACACCTTGTCCGTCTATATTGCTCTCACAGCCAGCCATTCAAACATGCATGACGTTACGACCAGAAAGAACATTGTGACCTTGAATTCAAATAATTCATCAACGATGATTGGTGCACCCTTGGCCAATCAAATCCATTTGTGTGAATTTTGCACCCATGGTCAACCCGACTTACCCGCCCGAGTCCAAGGCTGAACCCTTGTCTGCGGCCGCGGCGGCTAGCTTTCAAGCACGCGACGGTGTACGTGGTCACGTTAACACAGCTCTCCACTGTGAATGTGCCTACTCGAGTGGTGCATCATAACCAACACTCTCTAGGCACTGAAATTAACTGGTGTAGCCAACATGAGGTCACCCAAATACAACCAACCCGGTCCGACTCAATTGTGCAGTACATTCAGCGCTACCTGAAAAGAAACGCACGTACACCACCATCTTTGCACCTCAACATGTCTTTATGACGTCGTGTGTCGGACCTTGGTTGGATGATGGTACGATGGCAGCATTTCCAAATTGCAAGTGCAGCCCCACCGCCTTCCCGCGGTGGCTCGTCGATCGACCTCTGGTGACGCCACGTGTAGACCTCGAAATCGTTCGCCTCGGTACTGCTCCCCGAGACTCGGACGATTTCTGTTGCGTTTCCAGCGTCCACATTGCAGTTGACCGGTCTTGTCGGCCTGACCGCAGCATTGGACCATATGCAAACCAGTTACATGCACCACCCAGCCACTTCACAATGCACCATCCCCGCCTCCCCCAAAAGCTTCGCCAGTAGCATCCTCCCCGATGGCTCTGGCAGGCCCCCGCTGCGTCTTGTAGCACCTTCCACGCAGTCGTCGCCTTGCAAAATAGTGACGACGACTCACCCCACAATCCAGTGGGAATGGCTAGCCCATTCACTGGAAACACATCCGTCTGCCTGGTCTTCCCTCGCCGCGACGAGCCACGCCGCCCGCGCCGCCACCGACGCCATCCAGACCATCCTTGTCGCCATGCTGTACATGGCAAGTGCTTTGAGCTCACCCCAGCGATCGATAGCTGGCGAAGCCCAAGCCCCCTACCCAGTGCACCCAGTCTCAATAAGTGATGTAACCGTCAACAACCCTGGGCACTGGACACATGTATGTTGTACCTAGGAGACATCGGCCGAGTCGACTTTATTCTTACGAATTGAAGCCCTCCGGCAGTCTCTTCACAGAGAATGTCAAGTCCGACCATAACGTGAACTACAGCGTTGCGTCGTTAAAAGTAAAAACACAACAAATTCTCTTATCCCATGTCATGCACTTTGATAATGTGCTGCCAATGTACCGGTAGACTCGATACTGTAGTAATACTACTACGTCACGTTATATGAATACTGTACATACTACCTGACTACTACTACTAGTACTCCGGAGTAACTAGTTAGGTATGTAAACTTCATTCTCGCTTCGGAGGCCTTTAAATGTCCAATTTGAAGGAATGACATTTTCTCGCTGACTGGGAGTTGCTGGTCACGGTTGCTGCATACCTCGTTAAGAACGAATAAGTATGAATAGATATCGTGGAGACTTACTTGTCCATGGGAAAAAAAGCAAGTCATGTGCTAGATATGTGTAGCTCCTTCCACGTTAACAAGTTGTTACTTTAACTATCCACGTGGATCCACTCATCAACGTCGACGACGGGAGTCTTTGGCATCATCTCTGGACCTCGAGCGACGCCGACGAGGAGGCGATCGGTCGTCCTTGTTCTTGGGCCGCTTCGAGCTGCTTTCATCCCTATAATGTCGTGACGTTGGCCGGTCATGTGATCGACGGTGGTGCCGACGTGTGTCGTCCTGACTACGGGATCGCTGTCTGCGTTTCCCATCTTTGGCTTCGGCCTCCTCCACCAGCTGAAACGACGACGGCGGACGTTGGGGTTTCAAGACCACATGCCGGGACGAGGGGTTCTGGTGGCGCCGATCCCCGCGTCGGGAGTGCGTCGGGTCGTCGCCCCCGTCGGCGGCGGAAATCTTGCCGTCTTTGCGCTGAAACTTGTTCCAGAGCTTGGACACGGACTGGCAAAAGTTGACTTTAATCCGGCGGTCGTCGATCAGCACGTTGTTCATCTTGAAGAACGCTTCCACGCAGTGCTCCTTGTCTGTAAACTCAACAAAGCCAAAGCAGAGGCTGTCTCCAGTCTTGTAATCGAGGATGATGTGGGCGGTGCACGGGCCAAAGCGCGAAAAGATGAGCTCGAGGTCCTCGGCGCTTGTGACGGGGTTCAGTTTGCACACAAACAGCACCTCCTCGGGGGGCTTGACGTCGGCGTCGGGAATATCGCCGACGACTTCGAGGAACACGCCGCGGGACTTGGCTTCGCGCTCGCGCTGCATGGCCAGCAGCTCCTCTTCCGTCTTGCCGTCGTTGTCGTCTAGATTGTCCAGCACGCTCAGTCGGATTTCGGCCACTTCCGAAGCGGGTCGGTCGGCCACTGGCGATGACGGCGGCTCCACGAGACCCTTCGGGTCCGGGAACGGGTCTTCCAACACGAACGTGTGAAGAATACGGCAGTCCTGGTATGGACGACCCTTGTCGTCGGCGTACAACTCGGAGATTTTCTGTAAAATGTCCAGCCCTTCGACGACATGCCCGAACACAGTGTGCTTGACGAGGTGCTCGAGGTCGTCGTCCCGCATCGTCACGAAGAACTGGCTCGTGTTCGTGTCCGGGCCCGTGTTGGCCATGCATAAGCACCCCTTATTCAAGCTCGGCTTCACAGCCAACTCGTCTGGGAACGCTCGCGAAGCCTTTGGGTCCAAAACATGCCAAATCGAGTCGCCGCCGCCACCCGTGCCAGTCGGATCGCCACTCTGTACCAAGAGGTTCTCCTGCACGTTGAAGAACAACACGTTGTTGTAGTACTTGATCTTGCATAGCTTGAGAAAGTTGAGGCACGTGCGCGGCGCTTCCTTGATCAGCAGGTCCACGACCACTTCCCCCAGCGACGTCTGCAGCAACACCGACATGACCTTGCGCTCTAACGTTTGTGGTTGTTTCAAGGGTAACCGGATAGTCCGGATAATTCATAATCTTTCAGATTGGCTAATATCCACTTTGACCTTTCGGGCCAGAAATCCAAAATGTATTGTAGCCAATGCGCGAATATTAATTTCGAATTGACCAATGAAAGGAGAGATTGAATTCATACTGGAATCTCCAACAAATCGAAAAACCCATTAAATTAATAGAAAAAAATACTAATAACTCTAAATCGCGTCGACGGCCTCAGCGTTCAAGCCTTCGTAGCACGTGAGTCCGTCCTTGTTGAGCACGTCGTCCTTGGCGCCTTTCTCCATCATGTACTCCATGAGATCGTGGAAGCCATACGCATGTGCGTAGTGCAGCACCGTTTGCCCATTCAACTACTCAAAAGAACATATAATGGTCAGGCAGTCCATATATGTCAAAGCCTCATTATAACACGATTTGGTTTACATTTTGCGTATTGACGTCGGCGCCTTTTCTCAAGCACAGCTTGGCAATGCGTTTGTTATTGTTTTGACATGCAATGGACAGCAGCGTGTTGCCAGCGCTGTCCTGGGCGTCAATAGGGACGGTCCAGTCGGGTTGGTTTAGCAGCTACGTATATATATATATATATAAGCACTCGTCATCAACACCAACAGTTTCGGTCACGCGGCGTACGCTTTCGACTTCGGCGTATTTGCCATGCCGACACAGACTGAAAATGTGCTCGAGCTCCATGGCTTCCTTGGCGGCTTGCGTGACCACCTCTTGCCGCGCAGCATGTTCGGTCGTGTCCAGAAATGCGGCGCCGGCCACCGCTGGCGTGTCGTCGTCTTCCACTGCAAGCGACTTGACAAACTCGCAGTTGAACAGGTCTTTCCCAGCCACCCTATAGACGAGGTGTTACATTGGGGGTAGGGTTCATTCTAGGTTTAGCTGGGGGATTTTTTGATATTTTGAGGCGAGTCGTACCAAGGATCGTAGCCGACCGTGAGCCACTCGTCCGCTGCCGTGCGCGGGCGAACAATGCCCATACTCCGCGGTTGATTCTACATTGAGTTGTTCATTCATGGCACACAAACTCATAGAATCATAATATCCAACCCGTTTTTCTGCCATATATCTCCACGTGTGTGCGTTATATTACCTTGTTGTTCATCGTGGGGAGGTAATTCGCCTCCATCTTGACTGTTTTCGTGGCGGTCGCACATTGCACGAAGTTTCTCGGCAACGCCGCCACACTTCGATGGACGGCACCGCGGAATCCGTCCACGGCGGTCTGGCTGTCTTCCGTAAAGTCGACGGGCTTGTCCACCCACGCGACACCTTCGCCAGGCGGGGGATGTGTGACAAAGTCCGTTCCAAACGCATGCGACACGGTTTTTCCCCCCGGCGGCAACTCATCGGGGGTCGCGTCCGGCATGACGCTGCTGCGGTCGGTTCGAGAGGTCGCCACGTCGTCCGGGCTAGCGGTATGGCTTCCTCGATTGGGAGACGCATCCGACTCGCTCATACTGTCGTCCAAAGGGGCTTGTTCCAGAAACGAGTTGCCGCCGTTCATTCCAAGCCCCATGCCGAGCCCAATACCTAGTTGCAGCACGTCCATGACATTCGTCTGCCCCATCGACGCCCCCAGCGCTTGGGTTAACGTGTCGATGAGTTTCTTGGTTTGATCGTTTACAACTGGGTGGTCATTTGTCATTGGTGGCACTTGCTTGGCTGAAGCTGTCATTGAAGCGCTTTCCCCACCGCGGGACACAGCGCTCCCCCCCAAAGCCGAAGCTGTTGGTTGGTTCTGGGGGGTGGACTGAAATGGAAGCGGGGGGACGTGGATGCGCGACATTCTGGGTGGGGGAACGACCTTCTCCTCCTTGACGACCACCACGTCCGGTTGCAGCGTAATCGAGTGCTTCTGGGCACTGATGCGGAGGGCTTTGACCCGCGCGGCTCGTTCCAAAGGACTCTCCATCGACTTGGTCAAGTACTTTCTCATGTCTTGCTGCGAATACCGGGCGTCGGGAGCGCCGACCCCCACGGTGGCTCTTTCGCTGCGGCCATCGATTACCACCCCGTCAATGTCTCCATCGTCGCCCCGATGCTTTTCTTGGTCTAGGAGGGGCCGTTCCCAGTACGTCACCCCCGTCCGCTTGTCATACCTGTGTTTGAGTCTTTAATACTTTGAATTCATTCTCCATAGTATATCGCTTATACTTACCAGTACGCCAGCCCATCGTCAGTCACAAACTCTTCAAAGGGCGAGCCTTGCATGAACGCCCAACTGCGGTAGATCACTGGGATGCATTGGCCCATGGCGCCGTCCACGTTGCAGTTTTTCATAAACTCCCCCGGATCTTGCGAGCCCAGATTCGTAAAGCACTATCAATACTATTTATATATATATATATAGTACATACACGTGGAAGCACAAAAGAAATGCATTGTTTTGGCATGTTGTATTGTCAAGTCGATTCACGAAATCGACAGATAATATCGACCGAATCCAAAACCAAAACACTTTCAAGTGACTAATCAAACGCCAGAAACCATCGAATATAGTGTGTGAATTTTCAAATAGTGTGAATGGCTTACATACAAAATTCAGTACCAAAAATGGCGAATCACCACAACTCAGTATTTTTTTGGCTAACAGTACCGCATTGAATAATAATTGTAGTTAGTGTACCTGGGGCTGGTTGCGGCTCGACTTGCCCATCCAAAGCAAGTGCATAAACTCAGCGATCGTGCTCTCCCTTGTCGTGGGTTCACAAAACGGATAGTACCGATCCGCGCGAGTCGTAATCGTCGCATTGAACGACGGCGTGTTGAACGTGAGCACGTCCCCCGACGGCACAAACGTCACTGGACGCGTTTCATCGGGAATGAACAGCCCCGTCCACTCTAGAATCGTGCGGAACCCAAAGAACGCTTCTTCGCTGGTTTGCTCCGGTCGATTCAAGCACGGTTCAGCCACTTCTCCTGAAAAGTTGAATATAGATGTTAGCCCTTTAGCATTTTCATCGACTGAGCCCAAAGCAATTGTCGTCATGTACATATATATATATACCTTGCACAATAATCACAATCGTGGGCGCCCGACGGGTGTTGAGCGCGTGTTCGAGCGGTCGCACGACATATGTGGACGTTTTGGGGTCGATTTCCAAGCACAAGTACACGGCTGAGGCATCGGGGGTCGTTTTGGGGCACAGCGCGCGGCGGTCCGTGACGGTAAAGTTGCCAAATTGGGGGGGCACAAACGTCGTCACAACCAGATAAATCAACAGTTCGGCGACGAGGCCCCCCACGGCCATGTTGTCGGGCGACGGCTTCCGGCCAAAGTTGGCAAACAGCACGCAAGTGGGGGGTGTCACGCGCGTGCGCCGGGGCTTATCAAATCCCCTCGACGGGGTACAGGCTTTGATTTGGGCGGTGGCGCGGTACACGGACGCGTGGCTCTGGCGGGCACACACGCGCTCGACCCACGACAGTTTGTGGCATCCGTCGATGTACCGATTCGGCACGGGCAGTGGAATTTGGTCCAAGAAGGACGGCTGGGGCATCGGGATGCATCGCCGCGGCAGGAGGTCGTACTTGCGCGGGCGGTAGAGCACGACGGGTACGGGAGAGTCGGTTTTGAGCACCCAGTGGCGGAGGTCGTGGGGGGCCGCGGGGTTCATCGCGATCACGTCAAGTATGGGGTCCGGACTGAAACTCTTGTCTGTGACGGGGGCGACGGGGTGGAAGTGCCAGACAGAGTCCGAGTACGCCTGGCACCATTTGCCGTTTCGCAGCGTGTCGCGGAGCTTGAGAAGCGTCGGGGGGGATGCCTTGGACACGGTACCGAGGCGAAGCTGCTCGAGAAACGACCGGAACCATGCGCGGGTATGGAGTTTGCGCCGCATGGTCTTGTTAAAGGTTAAGAGGGTGGCATCCACGGCTCGGTAGATCGGATGTCGGCACTCGACAATGGTAATGTACGCCTTGCGCTGCTTGTCATATCTAAGTATTCGCCAAGTTTAAAGTCTCAACGTACAGACATAATAGATGACGGTCGGTTGTGAAGTGAGTACCGCAGTGAACTGTTGGCTTTCATGAAAATCTCTTGGATTTCCTCGGCCCGGTACTTGCGACGAAGTTGGTCGATTTCCCAGTTGGAGCACATGAGCGCACTTTCCGAGGCGGGGCGGGTGTCCAACGGATCGGTATGTGCATCGCAGAGGCATCCCTTGATCGCACTCCAGCACGCAAAGCACTGGGTCCGGTCGGGGCTACTACTAGTACTACTACTAGTACGTGGTGGCAACGACGATGACGCCTTGGACAACGGACCGGGGACGTCGGTGAACCCAGCGTCGGCCACGTCTCGGATTCGAAGTTGTCGACTGGCATACGATTGTTTGGATGTGGTTCGTTTCTTGGTCTTGTCTGTGGCCAGCACGGCTACTAGAAACGTGTCGGGCTTCTTGCCAAGCACGACGTCGCGCGTCGACCCCCCTGACGAGGAAGGGCTTGAGAGGGGGTTTGGTCGGCGGTACCGCTCCCGTTTCACCGCGTTAAACGAGATGGACGACGTGAGCAGGGCCGAAACCGAGTCGAACTTGGACACTTTGAGCGCATCTCGAATCGTGTCGCGCAGTTTGTGGTTCTTGGACCCGTCCGCGAGGAACAAGGCCGTGTCGTCCATCCAATCTACCATGTCCCCGTCCGCCGAGTCGTCTGGATGACGAGAAGGAGCGTCGTGATTGGGATGTATAAGGTGCGGACTGGCATGGTCGTGTGGAGACGGAGAGGGGGGGCTTCTGCTCGTAGGGTCGGAGGGGGTGGCTGACGGCGTCAGGGTACTCGGCAGGTCGTCGTCAAAATCTTGCAAGAGGATGGGGGCGTGTAGCGCGGGCAAGGGGTGGCTGTGCCGAGGCGCTTGATGGGGCACGCTTCCGAAGGGGGTTGGTGTTAGTTTTGGAGACAGAAGTGGAAGGGACGACACGCCTTGGTCGTGATTCTTGGCAACTGGAGGCTCCATGAACGTTCGCGTCGTCGATGCATGAGGAGGATCTTTGGACAGCCTTGGAAGCGGCGACGAGGATGCGATGGGCTTGTTGCTGGGAGGGGGGGGTTCCCATTGACTAAGACCAGTTTCGGTGTTATAATACCACGTTTCACCGCGATCAGGGTCTGAGATTTGCCGCCACAACGTCCCATGGGTTGGTTCTTTGTCCTATATATATATAAGGCCACACAACAAGTCGTTCGTTAAATAGCTTTGTAATTCCATCCATGAGAACGTACTGCGTGGACTTGTGACGATTGCTTTCGTCGAGCGAGGAAGCCTCGTCCTGATGCTTGGATCTACAGGCATCAACATGTGATTTTTGATTGGAGTTTGAGAAAGTACAAGGCGCGGACCTTGATGGCGGCTTTGGATTCGGCATCTCTAGACCGAGATTGCGGCTACAGATCGACGATTGTCAACGTACAGCGTTTAGTGGAGATGACGTACAGCGTCGTTGTCGACTTCAGGCGCGGGTAGAATCAGTGTGTCCATGCTTGCAATCCCCCCGTTGCGATGGCGTCGACTGAGCCGCTGCTTCTCGTTGTCGAGCACTTCCACCTGGGCTTCCAGTGCCTTTTTTCCTGGTATTGTGGACGGAACGAAGATGTCGGCTGCATCTCGCACCCGGTCTTCTTCTTCCTCAAAGCCAAACGCATCGCCAGTGTCTAATGGAGCTAGTGGCGGCATCGATTCCACCCCCAATTGTGCATTCTCCTTGCTCGACGGGTCTGTTTTGGATGCATTCTGCGGCTCCTCTAGACGCGCGGAAGGTGGAAACGTGTCTAGGACTTCAATCGTCACACGTCCAACCACTTTGCGAGGACGTTTGCGTGACGGGGACATGGTCGTGGTGATGCGCTGCAGCAAGTGATTCGTTTCGTTGGCGATTGCGTTCACGTCGTCCTTGTCCTCGAATAAAGGCGGCGGCAAGACCACAACCTCCTGCTTCTTCGCCACGCCATCCTTTTCCTCCACGGGTTGCTTTGGTTTGGGCTTGTTGCGTCGGAAGAGCGGGAACGGCATGAGTCTGGCGTCGCCGCGTCGACCGGGTTCGCGAAACTGCTTGTTGTAACGTTTTGTCATATTAAGTTCGATATTTGAAAAACGATCTTTAGAAGGATCGTACTTAATCAATACATTGGTGTAAACGACTTCGAATTATAGAAATGGACCTCCTGGGAAAGTTGGCGCAAGGTGGGTGCGCCGCCGACGGCACTGTGGCCGCACGGAATCCATTGTCCCAGGCTCTAGATGGTGTGCTTCGTGCGGGACCTATGGGAAGAGCACAGCAGCACCATCCGTCTGAGGCCCCTCCTGGCCAGTATACGCAGATGGACATTCACCAAGCCATGGCAGACGCCGCCCTACACCACATGCGTGATCAACCACCACCGTTCCATCACCACGACCCCCGTACTGCCACGCACGCTCCACCGCAAGTGGACATGAATCACGTGTGGCTGCAAGAGAAGATACAGCGAGACGCGGCGCACCGCCAGATGGACAATGCGTTTCAGCATTCGAGTGCAGCTTCTACTTCCGCGCCCATGATGCAACAGTCCCAGGACCATCGCGTAGAGTTCGCGCCACAGCAGCAGTATATGCATCATCATCACGGCCCTCCGTCGTCGTACATACAGCAGCAGCAGCAGGTCGGTAACTACGTACTCCTCCCAGTCCAACTCATCTTTACGACGACTTTGTGGCAGGGTCTGCACCATCCGCCGCAGATGATGCCACCACCGCCGCCTACGTTCATGCAAACCCAGCAACTTGCTCTAGAACACCAGCAGCATGTAGCGCACGTTGAAACAGTGGCCAAAAACGACCCATCCAACACTCAGCGCCTCTCGCGTGACGTGGCCAGCACGATGCGTCAACACGGCGATGCTCGGTTCCACAAAAGCGAATTCGTTCAGTTTATGGATGCGCTGGGCTCTGGTCGCGCCGAGTTGGACGACGCCGGCAACACAGTCGTGCACCACGACAGTCCTACTTCGGAACTGTTGGCGGATGCGCTAGACAAGGACTTGACAACGTTGGGAGGGGAGGACGATGCACATGATGGCGGCGGGTTGGATGTGAATGCATTGGTAGAGTAGACAAGACAGCCAACGTCGCGGTGATCTCATGACGAGGTACATGCGTAGGAACAAATTTGGGCCAAGGCCATGCAGGAAGGCCAGATGTTGGATCCGTTTCAAGAGAATGGCTGGTCCAGTACAGACCACGACGCAGCCCACGTGGCGTACGAGTTTTCAGATACTGTGAATCCGTACACGTCGGATGCAAATGCGTTCGAAGTGGTGAGTGATATATTGTCGATTTGATACAAGTTTGGGGAGGGGGTGCAATCGAATCGCGCCGACGAAACCGATCCACAATCGATCTGAATGGTTGTTGAATTTCATTGAGAAATGGGTTTTGATTGGCTAATAATTTTGAGCTCATCTGAGGTAGCCAATCAAATCGATTTAAATTTCAACTAGAAACCACGCCACAACACAATGAAATTTCACTCGAAAGCACAAGATATATATGTATATATATATATAATATTTTCTCAAACCAGTAAATATACTAGGCATGGTTTTTATTTTATGTATTGTGAATTCGCTCTAAATACGTGCGGCGGTTTTTCTAATCATATATATTGAATCACGCTGGAAACAACTTCTGATTGGTTGAATATTCTTGACCTTTCTGTAAGAGCCAATCAAAAAATCCACTCCAAATTGGATTAGCCAATACCGTCGATTCGTGTGATTCGATTCGACATTGGGGTCTGTAAATTTGGACCGTTGAATAATCCACAATATTTATTATATTTTAGGGCTGCGAACAGTTCCGCCAAGGCAATTTGAAAGAGGCAATTTTAGCGTTCGAAGCGTCGCTGCAGGAAGCGCCCGATCACAGCGACGCGTGGCGGATGCTCGGGGAATGTCATGCCGAAAACGACCAGGACAAGCAAGCGATTTCGTGTTTGAATCGGTACGTGTATATATATATTTATGTGGTCGTTGCTCTCGAGGTGTTATAATTCAGTTTTTAACGATGGTTTTGATAGGGCCGTGGAGGAAGATCCGTACAATTTGGACGCGTTGCTGGCATTGGGCGTGAGCAACGTGAACGAATTAAAATCGCATGGCGCACTCACGACGCTCCAGTTGTGGGTACAGCACAACCCCAAATTCCACGGACTCCAAGTGCAGCTGGACGACGCATATGGCGACGGCAGTCTCATGGACGAAGTGATGCAGCTGATGCTCCAAGCACAAGCGTTTGACCCACAGGACAGCGACGTGCAGGTACTGTTGATGAATAGGTACAGGCCAATGCTAAATTGGGATAATTCCCCCGGAATAGGTTGTGTTGGGCGTCTTGTACAACGTATCCAAGGACTACGACGCGGCCGCCCGGAGCTTTCGGGCAGCTGCGAGTGCCCGCCCCGAGGAATATTCCCTGTGGAACAAATTGGGGGCGACACTGGCCAATTCGTCCCGGTCGAACGAGGCGATCCCGTCGTATCATCGGTATGATTTCCGAATTCTATGGGGAAAATTCCTACCCCTACATGTAGTGCGTTGGAGATCAAGCCAAAATACGCCCGCGGGTGGCTGAATCTGGGCATTTCCCACGCGAATTTGGGGCAATACGAGGATGCTGCCCACTGCTACTTACAAGCGCTGCAGCAAAATGACCAGGCCGACCACATTTGGAGTTATTTACGTATTGCATTCACGTGCATGGAGCGATTTGACTTGGTTAAACTCACCGACACCAAGGACGTCGAAGCCTTTCGTAGCGAGTTCCAACTGGTTGCGTTGTAATAACAGTGTTGATATTGTCCATAATATTTGGACTTTTGTGCAGAATCGCCAAATCCATCGATCGATTCTTTGCACGTAAAAAAGTGATTGGTATCACACTAATTGAAGTCACACACTAATTTGACGTTTTTCGTGCAATCTAATTGGCCAAATCCTTCTGCCGATTCTTCTGTATTCCATGTTCGCTCCAGTTTAGAATAAACACAATAATATCGAAAATGACCGGAAAACTGGGTTTGCCATAACGTTGTTCCAGTGCCAGGTTCCTTGCTCCCGTTGTGGGCAATCGGCCTTACGCCACTGTACTGCCCTTGTCGTGTAAATAATTTATCGAGGTTAACGCAGCTAACAGTGGGCGGGGGGCATCGAGGGGACTAAACGCTATACTGGTTGAAATGCTGGTCAGATTATGGTGCAGAGTTTTGTATTCGATGCGTACTCTTAAAATACCTGTCCAAATCGTGTGCCTTTCACCCAAATTTGGACTTGTGAGTCATTATATCATTTGACTGAATCCATTTGATCCAATCTAAGCTTGCACAAACTATACTTTACAAATATTAGTATATATGTGTATGGTTTTGCACAATACGGAGGGCTGGGCCGAGTCAATCGTTTGGATTGGCAGAAATTCATTTCATGATTTGATTGGCTTAGGCGATTCTCTAATCCATTCTCTTAAGATATTCGATTCTGCTGAGGAGTATTCAAAAATTTATATTTAATGTTATCCTTGAAATAGCCTCTGAAGCTTTATATAGTTGAGGAAAACTCCGGAACTTAGTACTTAAATATTCCGTCAAATGGGTCCATACATTACTGGGGATTCGAATCCTCGACCGTGATTGGCCAAGACCTGTTGACTTACTGTTATTAATAGTACAACGCATTTTTGTCGGCACTTCAAATGGAGTGTGGAGCCACGGCCCGTGGTTCCGAATAAATAGCTTATCCGAAAAATTATTTATATTTTGAACTAAAACAATATTTATTCACCTTGTCGACGGAACTAATATTTAACTGTAAGTTACTTTTTGGACGTGCAAGGCGAAATAGATAATGGATACGCTGATTTAAAAAAGAGTAAGGGTGCGTCTGGTAACATTTCAAAAATAACATTCCATTTTCTCGCAAAATGGGATTAACCAAAATGCCATTTTCAAAATGGAGGTAAAAGGTCTATTTTGTAATATGGTGTTTTGAACCTCTTCAACGAGTACAGTACTGTAAATCCCACTTGGAATTATTGGATTTGGGTTAAAACTCTTCGAACAAGACATGTTTCAATATTGATCAGATTTGTTGAATTCGGCCCCAAAATGGGGGTTTGGGGCTGAATATTGCAATATTTCCAGTTACCTCACGCACCCTAAGTTATTGGATATGGGTATATAATTTTTCATATTTCCAGTGAACCAAATTGATTGCAGATTGAATTGGTTTCACATGAATTGCCAATGACACCTCACTTGCTCATTTGATGTCAACCGTGATCCATCCAACCAAACCCCTTAGTGGGAAGGCGCTCGCCGAGATTTTTTTCCAACGAACTGATGACGCAACTGTGTGTAAGTGTAAGTGTGGGCAACAGCGCTCTCAAAAGTTGCGTGGGTACACAAACTCATGTTCTCATACAGTGCTATCCGTTGAAGGTGGGTACAAGTGTTTTTTCCTGTAGAATTTCAAATTAAAACGCCATTTGAAGAAAATAACGCGATTATCAAAGACAAACACAACAGTGCCTTTAGATTCACAAAAAGTGATGTGGTTTTCGAGAAATATCCAAAATACTGAAATGAATGATTTTGAGCCTGGTAAAAAACATGGGACATGTAGATTGACAAGAAGCACGATAGCTATGTGTAGCTATTGCTTTGAAGTCTCCACCACCATGATGTTCCGCAGCCTCTCCTCGTGCATAACAGCAGTCGAGCCGTACCGTGCCGCGAACAAGACATGGCACGGCTCACCGTAACCACAGGTATCATCATGGCTGCCGGTGGCATAACCCCAAAGGTATCCTGCGGAAATGGGATTGATTTCACTGTCTTTGGTGGTGCAGTTGACGAGATCACGCCCACTAATGGCGGCTCCGACCAACCTCGACATGGACTTGCAGCCCTAGGGTGCGAGTAGAATTTCCAATACTTAGGTCAAGTGTAATCCAATCATTTTAACCTACTTGGGAAGCAAATATACCCAAAACACGATCAAAATATGACTTGTCATCGTACTTTGAAAAAGTGATTTCAAAGTACGACGGAAACGATTTTGATTGACTCCGTTCGTATTTGAAAGTTACTTGGAAGCGCCCTTTAGGTCGGTCACCTGAGACCTATGGAACGTCCAAAAGACAAGGGCGAAGGTTCAAATTGGACGAACGGGACCGTTGTCGTATCCTGCTGGTTTCATCCGAAGGCAAATCGAGCTCAAGTAGGATTAAGCACGGCCTTAATCTTCTTTCGCGAACACCCCATCTCAAGTACAAGAAGCGGAAGACGACTCCACGATTAACGGCTGCGCAGAAGATGGCTCGCGTGGAGTGGACAAAATGCCTTGTGGACCTCGGCAGTGGTTTTTGCTACATTTCCAACAATTGATGATGTAGGCTAACGTTACAAAAAGATTTTGTTGTCTCTTTCGCCAATCAATGAAGAGGATTCTTTAAACGCAAATCCTCGCTTTGACTACGTAACATTTGTATTGGATATTTATGGGGAAAATATCTGAAAATGTGGTGGCACTGATTGGAGATAATTGTGTTGTGATCATGCCAAATGCGGCAATGACCGTGGCTGAGATGTACGGACGACTCATATCGCTTCCGCAAGCGTTGGAATAGATTTCCTGGAGTTCATGCACCGCAAAGCTCCACTCACAGAAAATCTTGGCTTGCTTTTTGGTGAAATCCCGCGCGTCTAGTCTGTACAGCGGTGGAATACCCCGCGAAGGAGATCCACACCACCATAAGTTCCATGCAGTGGCAACGTCCGCAGAGGGTAGCAAGAAGTCTTCAGGCAGCATGTGCCAACGACCGCCCCAGTTGTGAATGGGACGCGGGACTGCGCATTCCTCATTTTCATGTGGTGATTGAGCTTGGCTGGTTGTGCTTGACTCGACAATAGATTTGACGGTATTCTTCAACATCTTCTCGAGCATTGTGTGGGTAATGTTGCCAGCAATGACACCCTTTTCTTCCAGTAGTTGCTCGATGGCTTCCCTGATCTCACCTGGTTGGGCTCGCACTAAAGCCATGTTCTCTACAAGCTGGGA